AAATGAAAAATGGAGAACAGATAAGCAGATCATGGCTTGTCTACAGTGAAAAGAAGGACTGGGTTATTTACTTTTGCCGTCACAATACTTTCACTACTTGTAACCCTTAGTTTCAAAACATAGAGAGGAAAACAACAAGAAAAGGGACGAGAAGAGAGGGACAAAACGTAGAACAGATAATGGATGTCTATACTATTAACATTTCTATATCTGTATAAAGGGTCTGTTTTATGTATTGTCTTCGCAATTCAAAGGCCCCCCTGCCTGTCTTTGCCTAGGGCACCAAAGTTCCTAAATCCACCCCTGTACCACGCCGTTTCACAACAAATCATCTCAAGGCTTTACAGAGACAATGCAACCAGATTGGTTAAACGTGTCTTTTAAAGAAAACCAGTTGATTGCATCCAGTCATTGACTTGCAGGACAGGTTCCTCCTGGATGAGCTCGCAGTGACTCTTCAGATAAACAAATTTAACTGTATGTGAAAAACATAATGTGGTTTGTTCACAGTTTTTGCCTGAGTTTAATTTTGTTTCTTTTGCCCCTTTAATGAGCTCAGTGTTTTGTTGTGTAAATGTAACTTTTGTGGTTAAAATAAAACCCTGTTGCAATTAAAACAGAACAATTGCTTAACCTATAAAAAAATCCTGATTCTGCCACTGGTCAAAATGAAACTAGAAGGCTTTAAAACACCAAGTAATTTGGCTTTAGATGATCTTCATTTAATCCATCATATAAATATACTCTCTGCCAGGTTGAGTGGAGGAATCAAATGCAAAAACTGAAGCTGAAGGGGGTTTCTTGCATATTTACAGCCATTCAAAATGGCCCTTCCCAGTCAAAAACCAGCTGATTGGCAGCCCACTTCCCTGCAACTCTCAGCGATATCCCCTCCAACTTCCAGGCACTGGATTGACCCCCTCTTGCATATATTTTTTTTTTACTCTGACTCCACCCTTTCACTAAATTACAGGGTCTGACCAGGAGTTGACGGTTCTCTTTAGATCTTAATGTCAACAAATCATGACAGAATATTTTAGTACAAAGATTGATTTTTAAAAAGGAACCACAGAGGACTAGCAAAGGACCAGCTAAGGACCCATCAAGGAATGTGGGGAAATTTTGAATGGCTACTACTTTAATAAAAAAATGTGGAAACAGAAGCAAAAATCCAAAAACATAAATCCACAAAATTCACAAATACATCCATACAAATACTGAAAACAAGGAATACTGTCAAGAAAGGCAAAGAAACAACAATGAACCAGCAGCAGTGACTGAACAGGAGGTGTTTATATGGCCGACAGAAACAAAGACGCCTAATTAGCAGATTGGGAGCAGGTGTGAACAGAGGAAGCTAAAAGGGAGATAAGAGGAAAGAGACTGACACAAGAGGGCAGCAGAGGGCAAACAAGAAATACTCAAGAATTAAAATACAATTTAGAAAAAACTAGAAAATGGAAATAAAACAATGAAAACTCAAAGAGAAAACTTAACAGAACCAAAACCATGACAACCCTCTAATTGCCACATTTTTGCTATACCATTTAAATACCATGTGAAGTGTGACACATTTAAATTGTATAACTGGTATTTTAAGTGACTGTATTTATGGTTTCTGAGCAGCTTTGATCATTAAAATTCACTACGGTCTCCCTGGTCATAAAAAATGAAAGAAAAAAAAGGAGCTGCAACTTGATTGAAAAACTTCCAGCTGCTGTGGGATATGAAGTCTGGCCTGCAGTGTTTATGTGGTTCAGAAAATGAACGGTTTGGGAACCACCGGTCTGCAAGTAAAAGCTGAAGCCTTAGATAGTTGTTGGAAAGACGTGGTGATCCCAGGATTTCCTTGAACCCTTGTTGTTTTGGTGATCCTTCCTCACGGTGTTCCTCCGGATTTTATTTACCGTTCCAGTTGTTTAAAACCTTTAAACATTTTTTTTTTTTTTGATTGTGAGGACAAATTTAGAAAAGTACCTTTGTGTCTCGCCACACACCTCCCTCCTTTTTCTAAAAAGTATGTTAAAATGTATACCTTCCCCCAAAGAAGCAAAGGAGCAATGATGGTATTTATGGTACATCAAAAGTCCGTACACTCTCTGATCAACTTACAAAATAGTAATATGCATAAAAAAAATACTTATTTTTTGTCTTTAAAATAGTTACAGGTCCCAATAGACCTAAATTTATCTCAAATCTGTCATTTTTAACATAGGATTTACATAAAAAAATTAGTCAAATTAAAGAGGGAGATTTTATTGAATTATTACCCATCAAATATAGATATAGATCTAAATACATTATAGATCATTATATAGATACACCTTTACAAAGGTTTGTCAATAAATATTAATAGGGTCATCTAAAAAAAAAAAAGGAAACTCTGCTTAACTTTGGAGGTGAATAAAGAATAAAAAATGTGCTAGATTATTATCAAACTCTTAGGAACATAATTGTACGGAAGAGGATTAGGGCCACTGGAAAAAAAAAAAATAAGTAAACTGATTTTTAAATTTTATTTCAGTTTAACATGGGAAAAAAGTCAGAATTCTGACTTTTTTCTCAGAATTCTGACTTTAATCTCAGAATTCTGACTTTTTTCCCATACTATACTGAAATAAAATAAAAAAAATCAGTTAACTTTTTTTTTTTTTCCAGTGGCCCTAATCCTCTTCCGTATAATTGTGTTTCTGATCATAAAATAGAAGAATTACAGCCAGTCAGGCTTCCTAATGTTTCAAACATTTCTTACTAGTACAGTATACATAGTTGGTAAATTTATGTTTAGGTTGTTTGTTTTTTTTTTAAAGCAGAAATGTACAAAAAGCACACTGGTCTCTGCATGTTTTGGACATTTGATTTTAACTTTACAAACAGATAGCTAAGCATACATGGACAAAAGGAAAAGGACATAATTTTTTTTTTTTTAAAATAGCTTTGTTTTTCTTTCTACTTCATTTAAATAATTAATAACTTTAAAATAGAAACAAAAAACCCTGATTTTCTTTCTTTTGTGTGTTTTCCTGAGACCGGATGTGCTCACTTATTTCACATGGGTGCAGATATAACAAGTAGATGTGAGAAGAAGATGTTCTGCAAGAAAAATGAGGACATTTTCAGTCCGGTGGCTCAGATTAAGGTTTTTCCTGAAACCGGTGGGTTACTGGTTCAATTCCCCCCTCTGACCATCTAAGACATTTCCCCTCCTTTCCTGATTGTGGCGGTCAGAGTATGCTGTGGCGCCGATTTAATGGCAGCCTGGCTTTTGTCAGTTAGCCACAGAGCAGCTGTGGCTAAAATCATTTAATCCATTTTAACTGGAACATTTCCTCACATTTGTTGTTAAACAAATCTGAACTGAGGTTTCTCTGGAGGACAGGCTTTTTTATTAAGATAAAAAAAAAAAACTCAAGTAATTATTTAGAATGACCCTAATTCCTTTATTTATTTACTTTATTTGAAATTTACTTTGAAATTAAATATCCTCTCAATATCTGTTTCTTAAAAGAAATTGAAATAATCAAAAGATTGAAATATACACTGTTTATTTATTTATTTTCCCTTTAATTATTTTTGGTGTGAAACATGAAAACAAACTGAATGCAGAGACTATAACTGACTATAATTATAGTGATTTTAATTACCCTCATCATGACACTGAAAAACACAAATATATCATGCTTACATGCTAATGACTGGCTTTATAAGGAAACTGTAGCATATCGATTTTATTTAAAAATGAAATGCTTATTAATGGAGATAAATTACCAATAATTAATGCAAGTATTTGAATGATAAGCTGCTCCTATCCCTGGATTTATCTTAATTCCTAAAACTTACTGCATTAATATGCAAACACCACCTTCCTGGACTCATGTAATGAACAGAGCTCATGTGAAATGAATGAATGAATGAATGAATGAATATGTTGTTTTTCTGCTCCTTCCACTTTAGTAATGTTACCAGTATAGAAAAAGAAACCAGAGGAATGTAAATATCTTGTAAGTTGGGTTTAGTTCCTGAATCCTGATCTAAAGTTAGACTGAGCGTATAAATAGGAGCGGGTCTCACCTGTGCAGCCATATAGAGCAGTAAAGCCAGCGTAATCACACAAAGATCCAGTCGCTCCATCCTGTTACTGATGCTGCTGAGTCTATGTGATGGATCGCTGTTTGCTAAGAGCTCACTCTCATGCCTGCTGACATTTATAAAGTCTGGACTCTGATGTCACAGGCTGACTGCTGTGTAAACAGCCGCCGCTCCAGCATCAGAAATGTTTCACATTCCTCCTCCTTGCTGCCGTTTCCACTTCCAAACATGCAGACACACCTCCACCCTGCTTCTTTTTCCCTTTCCTCACGCTCTGCCCAGTTTGTTGGCACTCTCAGTTTACAGGACTTCGCTGGAACTTGGGGGAAATATATTTGCCAAACTGGTCCTTTGAGCAGCAAGCAGGCTTTAGGGGTTTACTGAGAGGATTTAGGTTTTAATTTATCTTGTCAGGCATTTTCACAAGATGTAATCAAACCTGTAATACCACAAAAAATCTTATAATCTTTTCAAGGAGGTTTCTAGTCATAATTGCATTTGATTAGGTTTTTTTTCCCCACTGTTGGTGGCGACTGGAAGGCGTTTTTCATGTATATAATCCAAACTGCAGGCACCAGCATTATAAAAGCAAACATATTATGCCGGCAGGTTTCGACATCTTAAGTTAATTTAGGCGTTAAATAACTGTTTCAGGGGATTTGATTGATTTATTGGACAGGGACAGTATACATTAATAAGCATTCCCTGCAAATGCACCAGAATTAGCCAAAAGGCTATTTGTGATCTGTTGTCCATGGACAGATCATAAATTGTCTACATTAGAACACAACAGTAAGACATTTATAATGAGAAATACAAACACAGACAGAAATAAAAAACAGCTATAACTCTTCAAAACTTGTTTAAAAATACAGAATAAATGTTTGCTGGACTACATACTTTAGGTTAATAAAATAGAACATATATATATACATACATAAAAGCACTAAAAGCACTTTTACGCAGATGAACAACGCAGAGGAGAGACGCGTTCCTTGACAGTGTCGTTGCTAAGTCCCCAATTTAGTGCTACTTGGTCCCAATGGAATTTCCCATTGGGAACCTGCTAGCACTTAGCCTGGTGAGACCATCCTGATCTCGCGAGCTTTCAAGGT